ACTCGTTCCAAATCGTGATGTAAACAAGTCAAAAGATAAACTGAAAATATTTATTAAGGATGATCTAAAAAGATAAAGTTGTGCAATAAAATTGGCGATGATGCACGCATGGGAGTATGTAAGTTTGTTGTTCTGTGATGGTACACTCACTTGCTTAAAGATTCATTTTAAACTATTGTAAGAATCCCCGGTAATTTTAGTATATTTTGGTTGGAGGGGCCAAGTTTAACGTTGGTTGGTTGATAGAAGTATATCAACAAATTTTGGCAGACAACCAATAAGTTATTCGGGCGTAATTATCCGTGTCCAGGTTTTGCATATTGGCCGGAAGTGTGTAAACTTATAGTCGATTTTGTGAGCAAATTCACCGCTACCCATGAATGTCTGCATCGCGGTCATATCGAGCCGTAACAGTCCCTTGTACCTCAAAGCTACGAAGTCATCAAACCTACTGAGCTATCATTTCCGGGTTTATGGTGCCCTGGATGTAATCGACGAAAAAACTGGAATTATTTCCACCAAGTCCGCTTTTCCCGACAAAGACAGTTCGAATCGATACCTTGGCCTACTTTACCCAATAGACGATCATTACGTTTACGGATACGTTACTAACACAAATGTTAAGGTAAATTTTGTTCAGAAGTATGCTTAGAAGTATTTCCAATTCGAATAATTAAGACTGATATGACTGTTTTTTGCAATGACTTGCCCATCTGATAGTACACTATAGTGTATACGTGCCAGCTACAGCTTGTGTCGCGCTGTGTAGACATGTGAGCGCGGAAGTGGTATGTGCTGTTAGTGAAATGGTGCGGGGAAAAACTGCGCGAAACCCGCTATTATTAACCGGCCTTTCTTCCATCCGTCGGCCTCTGGATATTGAAGTGGCCGTCTTCCTCCAACTGTTCACGAGTTCTACCTTAGAAAATTAGCACATGGGACGTTCATTAATTTTTGCGCCAAGATCAATAAAACATGGCCGGCTGCGCAATTGACAGCTACCACCAGAATACTACTTAACGTCTTATCGAAGTCTTTTATAATGAATAATTTCCAAACGTTCCGTCGACGAGGCCTCTGCATAAGAACAGAATGGCTTCCGGAATATTAAGTATGCCTTAGAGTGCAGTGTATGTTCGCATGACTAAATTTCCGTCTGAAAAAGGTGAACAGTGTTCAAGGGTGGCGAGAAGACGA